GACCAAAAAAAGAGAAGTGTTTGTTATCTTTAGGCTATGTCCACACTGACAATTGAAGGATAACACTTTTTTCGTTTAGAGGTGTAAACACACTCCCCCCTCTTCCCCTGAAACACAAAAAATTTTCTGCAGCAAGAGCTCCTGTAAACAACACATTGTCAGCAGGACCAGCAAGGCTGTGTCAACATGATCGTGTCACTAAAAGCTGCATAGTGTAGACAAAGCCTAAGGTCAGGTCTATACTAAAGGAGAAGGTTGAATTAAGATACACAACTCCAGCTACGTTAATTATGTAACTAGAATCGATGTACCTTAATTCAAGTTTCCCCGACATCCCCACAGTGGAAGGCCAATGGGAGCAAATGTTGGGATTGGTCCTGCCTAGGGCAGTGGGCTTGACTTGATGACCTTCTGAGGTCTTTTCCAACTCTATGGTTCTATGATTCTACTCCTCACAAGAGCAGGCGTACCAGCCACTGATGGGAGCATCCTCTGACTTCGATTTAGAGACCTACTAAATTGAACTCTGGAAGATCAATCATGGCGGCATCGATCTTCCCTGGAGTGAAGACATGGCCTAAGAGAACTGGGCAGCAGGGCTGGAGTGAGACCTGATTTCATTTGCTTATTTATATTTTTAATTTTGTTATCAAATTAAAACTTCTCAACATTCCTGAGATGCCATTACACGAGCTACCAGTGCACTTTCTTTATCTTATAGTGGTTGCCAATTCCGTTATGTTTACCACAAGTCTTGTGATATTTGTTGAATTTTTTAATGGCCCTGCTGCTGGAGACATGCAATTTTTCTGAGAATCTCAGGGTTTGTCTATACAAGGACAATGTGAGCTACAGCAGGTGTGATTTCTACAGTGCAATAACATGTTGTGCATTATTTGGTCCGTATAAACCCTGCTGGAATGCATTAAGGTTCCTTAGTGCACATCCATATATTACATGTTGAACCTCTCTAGTACGGCACCCTCAGAACCTGACCAGTGCCGAATGAAAGAATTTGCTGAACCATGGGAAGTCAATATTGTCTAGTAGCATTACCAACACTTCCACTGCTTAGTGGGCTCCTAGAAGACATATAAGGGTAAATTAGAGCTAAATAACAGCAGAGAACACTGAGATCCGAGAATTGTAGCTGTAAACAAAGTAAATAGGACTGAAGGAAACGTGGCTATACCCATGACAAATGGGACATCCAGCTAACTAAAATCATGCTGGACCATGGATGTTGCCAGACGAGAGAGTTCCAGACTAGAGAGGTTGAACCTATAGTACTATATTAAAGCATGGTAGGGAATTTCTACTGCGTACCAGCGGAGTGTACAAGAAAGCATGTCTTTCATAAATTGTTTGATAGAAAACTGGGCTTTCTACTGTACAGAATTCTTCATGAAAAGTAATTGTTTTCTGCAGAAACTATTCCATGTTTGTCAAAAAGTATTCAGCTGAAAACTTTCAATATGTTATCTCTTTTTAAAAAATGAAACTCAGTTTTTGGTTGGATTTTTGTTGTTGTTGTTGCTAACATTTTTCACTTCTAAACTTTTTTCCAAGCTAGTGCTATTGGGGTGGAACAGATATGTCTTTCTGGGGAAGTGGAAGAACCTAGGAGGTGCTAGCCACCAGGGAATATCAGGGTATCTATTCACTACAATATAAACATAATTATTAATATCACAAAAGGGCAAGAAGGGGGGATATGCAGCCCCTGGAGGAGGTTAGGGCTTTTTGGACATTTGGCCTTGTATAGTTCTTTTTGACTAGATGGTAATGTGGTCTTGTGAGAAACTGAAATTCACATTCTTATCCATATTTTTACTCACAAAGGGAAAGCAAATAGGACTATCTGGTCATTCCTGATGTGGCACTATGATATACTAATGATGCTTAATATACATTTACAAAGCAAACTAAAAACATCAATTTTCACAGCACCCTAGGAAGTGGAGAGTGACTATCACCTCCTTACATACAGGGAAGCAGGGACCCACAGGGTACATCTACACAGCAGCGTTATATCGGAATAAATGACATTAATTCAAAATAACAAAATGCACGTCTACATAGCAAGCCATTATTTTGAAATAATGTTGAGAGGGAGGACTTCTTACTCTGACTCCTGTAACCGGCATTTTACGAGGAGTAAGGGAAGTCGAAGGAAGAGTGTTCTTCCTTCGACTTCTTGCTGTGTAGACAGCGTCAGAAGCCGAATTAAGCTATTTCGACTTCAGTTATGCAACTGACATAGCTGAATTTACGTATCTTAATTCGATTTTGCCCTGCTGTGTAGACGTACCCCCAGGGATTAAGGCCACCATTCTCCAACTTTTTTTTTAATGTTAGAAGTTTTAATGTAATTGATATGAACATGTTCACATTGGCAGAGAGGGAAGGAGATCTTGAGAGTGCCTAGCTTTTAGCCACATATTCAGAATACTAGACCTTCCTGGTTTCCCTGTAATCTCTGCAGCTTTACTTCTGGCTACAGTAAGAATGCCTTCTCCAGACTTCTGACCAAGACTTTGGAACAATCAAAAAAGTCTCCCCCCAAGACAATCCATTATAGGTTTTATATTGAACCTGGTGTATAAAGGAGCAGGAGTTCAGTGCGTACGGCATGTATGCTCATGTGGTATGGATGTGGTCCATGAAATTCATAGTTATGTAACTTAGCACTGAGTTCCAACACTAAATAGTCTATTCTACCCTTTCAGAGCTTCTCTTTATTTTATTTACAGGCATTTCTTTTTGGTGCTCACAAGCCTCTCAGCCTTTCAAACAATCTGTACAGCTCTGCTCTGAGGTTGGTGAGTACTATGAGCCTGAATTTAACATCGGGGAGTTGAACCACAGACAGTCGAAGGGTATGTCTACCAGCAGGCCTAAAGACAAAATAAGCTATGTAACTTGAGCTACGTTAATTGCCTATCTTACGTCAAAATAGCTTATTTCGGCTTTTGGCGCTGTCTACACAGCAGGAAGTCTGACGTAGAGCACTCTTCCTCCCACTTCCCTTATGCCTCATAAAAATGAAGGTTACAGGAGTCAGAGTAAGAAGTCCTCCAGCTTGACATTATTTTGACATCATGTGTCAAAATAACATCAACTATTACGCATCCTCTGTGATCTGCCCAGGATCATACAACAATTCTGTGGCAGAGTCAGAAATTGAGCATGGATCTTCTGTTTCTCAGTTCAATGGCTGAACCAAAAGACCATCACATTCCCTTCCTTAGGCCTGTCTACATTCAAAGTTTGTAACCAGGTATAGCTGTCTGTGTCAGCAAACAAGATCATTAATATCTGTTAGCAATCATGGCAAATAACCATGGCTTTTCTATTTTAATTCATGGTTGCTTTTCTGTAAGTGGTCCAGTTCCCTGTCTACTCCAGCCTTCCAGTCTAATCAGGACCTTTGGACATGGTTATGTAACAGGTTTAATGAGAATTCCTGCCTCTCAGTTGTTTGTGAGGTCAGACATCCCAGAACATAAGGCCCACAGCCTGCTGATGCTGCTGGGTGTGCATGTTTCCTAGGCATAGTATCACTAACTGAGGCACTATGGAAGAGCTACCCTTTAGTCTTCCTACAGTGCACTGATACAAACATGGGCAGTCAGTATGTTAGATGCAGAGGCACCCACAGGAGTGTAATGTGGTTGTGTTGTGAATAAAGCTGCTGCAGGAACACAGTTTACCTATTCTCACTGTAAGTGGGTCAGACTCCAGGACAACTGCCTGGTTACAAACAGTCAACTGCACTTCAGATGAGGCCTTAGTTGCATTGCTCTTACCTGTCTTTGTTGCACTATAGATGTTTTCAATGGGGAAGACTGTGCCCAGGCCATATAGCAGCACTTTAGCAAGAGCTGGTATGAGCTGAGTTGTGGTGACCAATACATTTACACAGTTAGGCCTAGAAAACAAAGTGGTTAGCTGGAATTGCAATGCATGAGGCAATCTGCGTCCCTTTCTCCGGCTAGCTTCTGAGCTGGGAGCAGAGAGCCAGATGCCACCCAAGAAAGCTCCAAAGAAGTTGGTGATTATATGATGAGAGGTGAGGATTTTTGTACAATCTCTTTATTAATTTATGAGAAATGAAATAATTAAAAAAAAAACCAATCCAGTGCCAAAGATGAAGACTTACAATCCATATTACAGCCAACTACTGAGGTGCTTTAAATGGTGGTAAATCTCCAATATTATTTACTCTTAATCCCTTGGGTGAACTAAGTCAGGGCTAGTAATTGGGATTCTATTTCCCCTTACTGGTCTCCTGCAAATCTGTTTAGTACCTTCCTGGAATGCCACAAATGGAGTATCCAGCATCAGGGCAGGAAAACCAACTGATTTTTCTATGTATCAGATTGAGCTTACCCTATCCCAGATCATACAAATCTACAAAACATGCGCAGATGGGCCTCCCACAGATTTGGCCAGCAAAGTCCTATAAACGTGCCATGGTTTGTTTGGAGGAAAAGAAGGGAAGCAAAAGAGCTCGTGGATCTCATATGGAGGTGATTCCTTAAGCTGTTCTTACCGGGAATGTATCAAATTCAGAGCCTTGAGAGCGTGAGTGAGCCAAAGATCAGTCAGAGCTTCCAGTTCTGCTCTTAACTGCAGCCAGGTTTCTCTCTTAGGAGCGCCTATTAAACCTGCAAGCATGGAAATTAAGCAACATCATTTATAGCTGCCTGAAAAGGGACTGGCTTGCACAGCTTAGTACACAGTACACCAAAGAGCCTCCTGCTCTCTTCTGGCCATGTATGAATCCTTTAGCTGCTCCTCTTTCATTCCTGGTGGAGATCCCTTCTGATCACACTGCTACGGAGTTTTCCAAGGCTCTGCCCCAAGTTCCCTTCCTTTCTCCCTCTGGAACCTCCTGCTAGCCTTTCTTTTTGGACATTGCTTCAAAGCAGATGATGCCCTGAATGCCCCCAGTGTCTCACTCCTATTCATCCACTTCCCTATTCCCCCTCCCATCTTGACCCCAGTCTCTTCGGCACAATTCACAGTTGAGGGGCTTTGATCTGTCACTGGTCTCTTCTTCAACCTGCTGGACCTCTAGACTGCTGCTGTGCAAAGTGTTTCATGACTAAGGGCCTGTTGTAGAGAGAGGCTTTCTTTGAAATACAGTTGCTGGTGGGGTAGTTAGCACTGACATTTTTTTGCACCACAATAGTTGCTCAGCTCCAGCTCTGCAGTTTCTGCCTGGCTCACTTAGAATACTTCTCTGAAATTTCCCATACAGCTTATGGACAAACTAAGCAATAATGGTTAAGGCACCAGTCATTTCCTGAGAACTGCACCAGTGCGGAGAGGACAGAGGTCTGAGCAGAAGCAGATGGCTGTTGGGTCCTGCTGGTCATTAATCCCCCTGAAAATCTGTTCACAAGGTCATTATTCCCAGTATATATGGGAAAATCATTATTCCCACTACATACAGACAAGGCAAATGTTTAAAATACCTTTAGGAGTATTATTATTCATGGTTACAGGTTGTTCTGGTTCTAGCTCTGGGACAGTTGTGCAGACAAAATCCCAGCCCCACCAGAAACTAGCTGAGCTAAACTGGATGCTAAGAGTTCAAGGAGGCTAGAACTTCCCATTGTCCGGGGATATCATTTTGATGGGATGTCGGATAGGGAACTGTGACTCAGGAATATTTTCCTTCTCCCATATACACCAGAGCTCATCTATGCATCTTTCTGTGTGAGACTAGACATATTTGGTTTTAGACTGTTTGAAAGGGGGGGGTGTATTCTATATATGGAATGTTTGGGGAGACAATGAAAGTAATGTTTTCTGTACCAGCTCTGGTGCTAATTTATTGGGACGCACAGCTTTCTTTTCGCAAAGATATTTAGTTTTAATTGTGTTTGTTGAGGAATCCAAGGACTTTGGAGATGTGGTGCCCTTTAATTAGGTGCACAAATATCAACATGAGTGAAATGCATATTTTAAAAATATTTGTTTTTTTAGTAAACTTTTGCCAGGTTCATTGCATGGCTAGGGAATTAATGTCAAGGCCATTATTGTTTGAGTACTGAGTGTACTAGGCCCTATACAATACAGGACAGAAAATACCTCCCCCACAAGAATCTTACAATAATTTCTGAGCAGCATTTAGAGTAGACACTGCATACTGTGTGTAAAGCTCTTGAAGCAGGGCCTGATTTCTCCTCTAATGTACAGGGGAACAGCACAGAGAACACAGAAGCCTACAGAGCCCTCTTAGGAGCAGTAATATTTCGTTTCATGCTAATTAGATAGGTCTGAACTAAGGATGTAAAGGAGGAGTCGACTAGAAGCTTATTGGGTAGCACTATTGTCTACTCGTTCATCCCGCTCCCCCCATGCATTTTTAAAGGGAAGCCGACAGGAGAGGACGCTGGCTGAATCCCTGGTGCTGGGCCTCAGCACAAACTCAAGCTGCCGCTTTGCATTTTTAAAGATAAGCCAGGAGGAGTGCTGAGACCTGGAATTCAACCAGTGCCCTCTCCTGCCTGCTTTCCTTTAAAAATGCAAAGCAGCAGGGAAGGGAGGAGGAGAGGTTGTTCTAAGACCCAAGACCAGGGATTCAGCCAGGCTCCTCTCCTGCCGGCTTCCCTTTAAAAATACCGAATGGCAGCAGGAGGTTGTATTGAAACCCGGCACGAGTCGGGAGTGAGTGCAGACACTGCCCTTCCCCCATCCACTAACTCAATTAGCTAATTAACCGCTATCTAATATCTCTAGTCTGAACCAGAACCTCTTGTCTGATCAACTTCTGATTATGGGAAGGGTGCATGAAATCTAGATCCAGATTTTGTAGCTTGGTCCGTTATCTCAAATGCCTTTCACAGTACCTCAGAGCACTTGGCAAAAACTAACCAAGCCTCACAACACATCCATGTGACGTAGTTATTAGCCCATGGGAAAACTCTGGTGTGGACAGGCTGCAATTTACCCATCCTGTTACAATGTTACAATGTGTCAGAGACGGGAACAAGGTACAAGAGCAGTCTTGACTCCTAGTTCCCTACTCTACCCATTAGACTGCACTTCCCCATAACAAATTAGTTTGCTTCTTGTTTTTGGAGTGTCTAGGCTATTCTGTCGTGACTTATAATTTAAGGATCAGGCAGCTAAATTTTGCTGAAACACTTGCCCAGCAGTTCACTTCTCCAAAGATCAAGGTGCCGTAAGTATGCTGCTCACTACATTTACCTTGTAGTGTTTATCCTGATGAGGGGGGGTTGTTTTAAAAGATGAAAGGGGCCATGTCCTAGTCCGCAGACACTTACCTCCTACGTTGTTTTTGTAGGTATTGTACATCTCTTTCACCCGCCGGTAGCGGAATGCTAATTTCCTCATCCAGTCAACTCCCCCGTGAACTCCAGAGCCCAGGCACAGGTTTGCACCGGCAGTTGAACTGTGAAAGCCGTCTGCTGAGAAGTTATATGTGCTGGGGAGTGGGGAAGGGAAGCAGAAGAAGGAGGAGGACAAAGAAATGGGAAAGAGGGTTAGTGCAATTGTATAAAACAAGGTTCCAAATGGGTGTGGAAATAAGTGAAGGAAGTGGGGTATAGGGACACCAGATGCCTGCTGGAGACTAATGGAGGCAGCTGGTAAGGCAGAGGAAAAGGAGGAATACATCTCTTCATGCCATACCTATTAGGTGTTTCTGCTAATACCTATCAATTTGTGGTATGTGACTTTATTTTGCAGGACGAGACATGTTGGGCTAAACCGTCAGTCGATTCCCATTACCACTCCCGCTGAATTTGTGGATTCACCTATTTATACCCACAACTCTCCCTCCAGCCCTCCAACACACTCTTATACAAGCAAATTGGGCAGAGTGACCTGGAAAGCCAATTTTCTATACAAATGTAGGTGTGCAATCACATGTGCATTTTACACACAATTGTGTGACTGATGGTTTTAAGCATCTGGCCTGATGCCAAATCTGTACAATAAAAGGGATGGTTTTCCATGTACCATTGGATACAATTACTAATACTATAGTCGGATTAATGAAGTAAAAATTTTTGCCCACTGATTTGACATGAGAAATCTATTTTCAGGAGTGAGGAACCAACAAGATTGCCAGAGGTACGGAACCCAGAACGTCTCCCAAATCTTCATGTATCTACTTTCTACAACTCTCTGAAAACAAGGAAGAATTTATTGGATACAGACAGTGAAAGTGATTTCTCATGAAGACATTGTATACGCTGGTTACTAGCAACCATTCATTGTGAATTTCTTAGAACTACCTTGAATACAGAGAAACAAGGACTGTCCTTTACATGAAAATCACAATGTATGCCTGGCTTACCGAAACAGAGCTGCTAATGCAACTGTCTGTAGAAATACTCAAATCCTAAAGAATGTAATTCTGATGCAGACCTTCCCAAATTTTTTGGCACTGTATGTTAATATCAGGCTTAAAAACTGTTTTAGAAAAAGAATGAATTAACAGTGGAATGAAAGGGCAGTGGCTATTTACAATGCTGGGTCATGAACATTCTCCACCAAAATCTACACACGTAGCACTCAGAAGAAGAGAATAAACTCAGTATAGGATATAGAAAAGCCTACAAAGGACTTTTCTATGCAGGACTTAAAGTCAAATCAACTAAAGACAAGAATTTAAAGTACATTAAGGGCCTGTGTAGATGCTGTTATTCAAAAGTATAGAGACATTTTATTTCAATTTAGAGTAATTCACTTCCCAAAGTTATTTTGGCTTAATTTCACTAAGCATAGGCAAGCAACAGAGATCTTTTGGGCACAGGCTTGTTACAGGATGAAAAGAGACATGTTAGCAGATTGCTTTTCCATATACTCTCATAATAAGGACGGATTATTGCAGTAATTTACTTAAGGTAAAATCCAGTTTTTCATTTGAATATGTATCTGCACTAATACTGGTAGAGCTAATGAAATACCCTGAAAGTCTCTTATTCTTTCAGTGTTTTTGAAAACAAGCTACAACAATACCTCCAGCTTTTCTGTGCAGGGAGAACTGCCTTCCATGTATCATGTAGCTACGTCCATTTATTATATACACGATTCATTAGAAAACAGCTTAGAGTCAGCAAAAGGTCCTGGTTGCCATACTATGCAGGTGAACATCTGCACCCCAATTTTATACACACAATTACTGTTAATATACCTGCACACTTGGCAAATGCACATGCAAATTTATCACATGCATGATTACCAGCTTCACATATGCACATTATTGACATGCAAATCTGAAATAATATTTTCATGACACAGCCAGTTTTTACTGGTCTACCTGCTATTCACAATGTAAGATTGCTGGACACTAAAAATCACTCTTCAAATCAAAGAGGACCTTGTATTGTGACACCGAGTCCTGGCTGTACCGTTCTGTGCTCTGTGATAGGTGATGATAAGTGTAAACTGCAGGGTCATTTCATTGAGAAATATGTCTGACATCTTCAGGAGTTTCTGGTAGCAGTGATCAAAGGTACTTTTTAAAAAAAAAAAATTCAGTGCAGCATGAAAGAGTCCAGAACACAGGACTAAAAAATGAACTGCACAAAGCTCTTAGCCAGGAAGCTCAGGTTGGGCTTAGATGATGCCATGACCATGGAGTCCTGCACTGTCAAGTTTGTCAACATATTCCAATAAAGAAATGTCATATGGAAAATAAGTGGCTGGGGTGTGTAGCTGGTACAATCAGAAGACAATGTGTTGAGGTAATTAATTCTCAAATTACACAGCAAGTAGAGTGGGTGATATGTTAATAGTACAGTTGCCATGGCAGCCTTGAGATCTTACAATAAACAACAATACAGTAACCAGGAGTCAATTCCTGTGGAAAATATAATTACACTGTAACTCATGTTAACATCATTGCTACCTCTTGTTAATCATACAATTTCCTTGTGATACCACAGAATACGGGGATACATATAGGACCTTCAGCTGCAAAAATGGGAATTTTCCCATTGGGCAAAGCTCCTGGGAATTCTGGGCCTGAGTTACATACAGTCTGGACACAACACTGCACAAGTGTAAGGCTCCAGTATGGTTTTGAAATGGTTTGGTCCAATCTACGCTGGCTGGCCAAACCATATTTGAAGGCATAGCTGAGTCAAGTTCAATCCATTTTCAAATTGTTTTCCCAGTGTGGCTTGAACTTAGTATGGATCGGGCCTGAGAGTAAGGCCTGGGCATATAAGTGGGAGAAAGAGGACTTTTGTGCTCTTTATGCATTGATGAATGCAAGGAATATGGAAGGGGAAAACAGCAAGATCGAGAATGTTATTTATATCATACCACTGCTCATTCTCAAGCTATTTCTGAGGAATTGTGGACTGTTTGAGCTGAAGGTTCCAGTTCAGAGATTACCTACCTTAGATCTTGTCCATTGTCATCTGAAGATACGTCGTCTATGTGTATTTGGTCACAATCCTGAAAAGCATAAACACACACAACAAAACCCCCATATCAATCAGGAAATGATATTGCCTTGGAATAACAAATTTGAAAGACGAATTTTCATGAAATTAAAAACACATTAAAGCCAGATAGTAAGGTAAAATCAGGTCACCCATGTATTGCTCAAACTCTCAACAAATTCCAGTCAACTAATTAGATTACAAGACAATTTGTGGCTTGGTCACAACATGAATAGAATTACTATGTAAGAATTGTGTGAGATCACAACAGTTCTTGAATTGCACAGTAAGATGAAATTGCTTCCTATTCATACAGAAACATGTAAAGCTCATGCAAAGAAACTTTTTTAACCAGTAAAATAGTAGTAGTTTACATGCATTGTTGGTATTACAATCAGCAGCCTTCCCCAAGAGCATTACTTATTGTACCAATAAGAATATTCAGGCTTAACTGAAGGGAAAGAAGAAAAACCCCACTTTCTAGGTCTTGCTACAGAAATTTCCTGTCTGAGGCCTTGCTCATATTTCCCCAGTGCTTGCTCGGGCTTTACCCTCTCCTGCTCATGCATCAAGAAGAGAAGGGATCTTGCCATATCCACATTCCACAGACAAAGTTAAGAAATAATGCACATAAGTAATAAGGAAATCAATCTAGGAAATTTAAACTGAAGAGATTATGCACTTGGAGCTTAGCTTGCATGAAATATGCTCTCTGGATCTTATCTAAATTTCTCATTGTTTGAGTGGTGAAGGCTTTACCTCAAAATCTCAAGAAATGTTATTTCTAGGTTTCTTTCTCTGACTTGACATTGTGATTAAAAAGGGGATGAGGAAGAAACTTGGGAAGCCTTTCTTTCTCTCTCTTCTTTTACCCTTACAGGGAAGGAGCAATGTGTGTTGCAAAAGCCCTTGGAAGCCAGCAGTTATTGGTCTGGTTGTTTTGGTTGATCTACAAATGAATTTCTGAAGTGGAATTCCAATTCATCTGATGAAGTGGATTTTACCCATGAAAGCTCGTGATTCTATATATTTTTGTTAGTCTCTAAAGTGCCACGGGACTACTTGTTTTTAGAAGTGCAAGGGGACTCTTAAGCAGTTACTGATGGTTCTTTATGTGCTTCACTAGTCATTCTTTGTTATCTACATTCTAAAGCTTGTAGTAGTCTTGCTACACAGCCAAGGATTTCTATGAGCTATTTAAATCCATCCCCTCCTAACCACAAGATTTTTTCGTGTGTGAGCAATTTCCAAAGGGAAGACATCACAGACATGCCTTCATAAATGCATTGAGACAGTTCTGTTCACAAATCCTACATTTCTGCAGACTGGGTAAACATTTCAAAATCATGTGTGTCCTTGAGACCATTTTGAAAGTAGAACTCCTAAGTCTCATTTTCAAAAGTGACTAAATCACTCACATGCTTTTGAAAATTATATCCACCATCCCTATATAGGAAGGCAGAGTTTCCTGAGCTCTAAATGCACTTGAGAATTATAATGCGATTGAAGTAAGAATAATTGTATACACACACTTTCCTTTGGAAATGTAGACCTAAAACATCAAGAACCATCATGTCCAAGATATATTAATGTTGCTTCCCTCTTATGGTATAATACTACATCCCTTAAGGTACAATTCCGGACTTTTGCTGAGTAGAGGTTTCTAAAGGATCTAATTCAATCCAGTGCCCATCTCCTCTGTTCCTTCCTTGCTTTATAATTGAGGACATTATTTTAAGTGAGTGCCGACTCTACAAATAAGAGCTGAGAAAATAAATTAATAGCAGAACTTTGCTGGCACACCCCACCACTCTCAAATTAAAAAAACATTCCCAACCGTGGTTGTGAGCTATGAAAGCCACGCTGGAATAATATTGTCACAGCCCACTCAGCTTCAGTTGCATTGTGCTGTGCATTATGTAAGGGGAAAGGCATTTGTGGGGGATCTGCTTTTCTCATTTACAAATGAATTGTTCTGTATTCTGAAGTGTGACAACAGTAGCTATCACATTTCTGATTTAATAAAATACCATGACACTTGGTGAGACGCTACCTCATAATCCACCAGCCAACCCTACCTATCATATTACTGGGTAAAACACAGAGAAGCTGAATACGGCAAGAACGTAGGCCATGCTTTACTACTTGGTTACCAGACTAATTTTTCATTCTCACAGAATTTACTTCGGACCTTAGCGAGAGGGGAAGGAGGACAGGAATATCTGGGCAGCTGAAGAGAACATCCAGATTGTCTGAATGAAAGTCAGCAGTGAGGACATTTCCGAACACTAGTTTTCACATCTGTTGCCTTTTTTAAAATGATACTCCAGGCTCTCATAGAGCTGCATGATTAGTGTGGCACACATGGGCTATAATATCTGATTCAGGAAATATAAAGCCCTAAACACCATATTGAGCCTTTTAGAACCAGACCTTTTATAAAGTTCTGAAATGCTTGGACTATTCTTTTATTTTCTTCTGCCTCCATGTGGGACCTGATGCAGACAAGCTAAAATAACAGGAAACAGACTGTACTCATGATATGTCCAATTTTTACAAAAGGCTCAAGAGGTCTGGAAGAGGATCCAGACTTATTTTCTTAACCAAAATAAACCAGAGCTCTGAACATCATGAGGATGCACACGTCCTTACAATTGACATCAAGATGTGGCCCTGAGTGTTTTCTTTGTGAGTATTCCGAGGTAAAACAGCCAATGACTTCTCAAGTATGTACAGACTATAACAGGTGATATTTAAGATATCCTTGGTTAAACAAACAGCTCTCCCTCACTGTAGCAACAGGTCCACTGAACAACACTCAGAATGCTTAGCCCCCAGGGATGGCTCCAAAAGGTAGCTTTATAAACAGTGTTCTAATCTCGCTGACACTTGCATGTTTTTCTGTTTTGTATTTTCCGGACCAGCGGTTTTCAAACTTTTTTTTCTCATGACCAGCTGAAGAAAATCGTTGATGCCTGTGACCCAACGTAATTTGACTAGAGTGTGGGCTGCAGGGTGGGGCTGAAGAGAGCTTTGGGCTGTAGCAGGGGACTCAGGCTTTGGAGAAGAGGGGAGTCAGGGATGGGGCAGGAGGGGCTTATCTCAAGGGGCTCCCAATCAGCAGTACAGCAGGAGTGCTAAGGCAGCTTCCTGCCTGTCTGGGCACTGCAGACCATACTGCACCCCAGAAGCAGCCAGCAGCAGATTCCCAGACAATGGATATGCAGAGCTAGTGCTCAGGGTAGGGGCAGTGTGTGGAGCCCTGTGTGCTCTTCTACACCCCAGGAGTCAGGCCTGCTGCTGGCTACTTCTGGGGCATAGTGCAGTCTGCGGGGCCAGGAGGGGCAGGAAGTCTGCCTTAGCACCCCTGCTGATGACCCTGCAGCAAGGAGACTCAGTGCCTGACATGCCACGATCCAGTTCTGGGTTCTGACCCTTAGCGTGAAAACCACAGTTCTAGACTTCTCACCAAACAAAGGTAAAAGAAAGGAACGAATATCGTTTTAGACAGAGATGCACAGAGTCAGCATTGCAGGATTTAGTGAAATAACCATGGGACTTGAAGCCCAGGGTGCCTGAGTTCTAATTTTACCACTGCCTCACTATGCTGCCTTGAACAAGTGATTTATCCTCTCTGCTCTTCCTGCTAATACAGTAGAGCAGGGGTTCTCAACCTGGGGTACGCGTAAGCTTGTCAAGGGGGCATGGGGAATATTTTGTAAATACTGTAACTAGATTATCCTAATTGAAATATTCCAAAACTAGCAGTGTTAGTGAAACAAGTTGTGGATTCTAGAGTCTAGAATTTATTTCCTTTCATATTGAATAGGGGGAACGGGAAGGTTTACTAAAAGCCAAGGAGGTACGGGGACCAAAAAAGAGAGACAATGTGGGCGAGAGAACATATTTTATTAGACCAACTTCTGTTGGGGAAAGAGACAGCTTTTGAGCTATTCGTTTGACATGAAAAAGAGCTCAGTGTAGCTTGAAAGCTGGACTCTTTCTCCAACATAATTTGTCCATATGTCCATACATGTCAAAAAATGTGGGCCTTGTGTGACTATATATGAGTTGATCTGACATCGGATCCTGATTGACGTAACGTTTGTGTCACCATGTTCAATGGAGTCACTGCATCTTAGAGGGCCCTCTTGAGGACCTGGACCCTCTATTATAGTTCACAAACAACACTAAGTCATGCTGCACTAGGCAAAGAAATTCCACTTTTTAAGTTACTCAAACCAAGAGTTAGCTAATCTACAGTGAGTTGTATAACTGTGTGCACCAAGGAGGTAGTTGGCAACTGATCAGGGGAGGACTCTAGGGGCACGCCTACACAGCAGGGCTAAACTCAAAATAGGCTACACAACTTGAGCCATGCTAACTGCATAGCTTAAGTCGAAATAGCTTATTATGACTTTTGGCACTGTGTACACAGGCCGTTATTTTGAAATAGAGCACTCTTCCCTCGACTTCTCTTACTCCTCATGCAATGAGGGTTGCAGGAGTTGGAGTAAGAAGCCCGTTAATTTGAAATTATTTCGAAATAACGGGCTTGCTATGCCGACGCGCACATTATTTTGGAATAACTGATGTTATTCTGAAATAATGCTGCTGTGTAGACATAACCTTTGTCAACTAAGCCTGATGATACTTTGACCAGTTCCCTTTCTGCAGGACCATGCATGGGGATGGCTGGCTGATAGCCTCACATGTAATTTGATTTAAGTAGGTTGCTAACCAAGTAAGGCTGGCTTGAAACAGGTTGCCTGAATGTTACTGCTGGTTCTCTTTCCTGAATATGTACAGGTCAGCCACTCCTTTCCAAAGCAATGGCTTCAGAATACACACACACAGACACAAATAAATTATAGATCGTATCCTGGATATAGACCTTCCCACTGCCCTTTGGAAAATTGTCAAAGACATAGGAAAAGGATTAATTATAACAACAGGGTCCTGGTTAACAGGCTACCCTTACACGAGACAAGCAGGGAAGAGAGTCTTGGCCAA